TCAATCCAAAACTTTCCATAGCGCATTCGGATTATTATTTTTGGACTTAAATGAATGAGCAACAACTTATTTAACAAAACAAACTCATCTCAACACATTTCTTGGTTAATAAACCATTTTTCTGGTTAAACTTAAGTAAGTTAACAAAATTTGTGCAAAAAGTACGACTAAAGGCTCGAACATTTGAGATAAGAGTTTAGACTAGGTGCGGTTTGTAGAGACATCAAAGCTGAGTCCATTGGTCTCATTAAATACTTCGTTCGATGATCAGTTTTCTGGGAAATCGAGGTCAAAGTTAAAACTTCGATCGCCTTTTCTTCAGCTATTGGAGCAAATTTTGGCATGAAACTTATTTTACTGATGTGTATTTTGATGAGAAACCAGAAACTGGACACATTTTGATGCATAGCATTTTCTTTTTCTGCAAAACAGATCAAGTTCGATTTTCAGCGGAATCGAATTCTTTTTGTAACCGTAAGAGTTAGAGAGATGAAATTATTATGTCTGTGTAAATATTGTTGGTACACATCAATGAGCGAAAACTTTTTTCACTTTACAAACAGTCCTCTTAATTTTGACCATTGACCTAAAAACTTTAAGCCTCAGTATCTCGGGACCGGTAATATATAAAATCATCATTCTTTTACGCGAAATCAGATTTCATTGTGGGCTACAATATATTGCAACTTTAAAATGTTCAAGGTTCTACAAAAAAAGTTATTGCATGGTATTACTTATGGTGTCACATTATGGTGTCCAGGATTTTAGACATGATTATAAAGTTGAATGGATACCAAACACAAATCTAGTTAGAAGGATCTCCATTATTAAATGCTCGTATTTCATTCAGTATTCAGTAATATACTATTATAGCGCATAATGAAATCTAATGTTTGGTAAAAGAATAATGATGTTAGGCCCCTCCATTCTCGAAAGCTCGAAACTCAAAGTTTTCTGGTCAATGTACAAAATCAAGAGAACTGTTAGTAAATTGAAAAAAGTAATTGATCCATGATGTGGGCTAAAAATTTTTATGAATTGATTATAAGTTTCAGCTCTCTAACTCTTACGGTCATAGAGAGCGATCTTTTTAACTAAAAGTCGAACTAATCTGTTTTACAGAAACATGAACATTTATTTCATGTGATAAAGTGCATTTTCGGGTTGATCTCTAAAATTTACATCAGTAAAATAAGTTTCATGCAAAAATCTGCTCCAATAGCTGAAATAAAGGCGATCAAAGTTTTAACTTTGACCTCGATTTCCCAGAAAACTGATCATCGAACGAAGTATTTAATGAGACCAATGGACTCAGTTTTCATGTTCCTACAAATCCCACCTAGTCTAAACTCTCAACTCAACTGTTCGAGCCTTTAGTCGTACTTTTTGCACAAATTTTGTTAACTTACTTAAGTTTAACCAGAAAAATGGTTTATTAACCAAGAAATGTGTTGAGATGAGTTTGTTTTGTTAAATAAGTTGTTGCTCATTCATTTAAAGTCCAAAAATAATAATCCGAATGCGCTAATGGAAAGTTTTTGGATTGAATTGAACTAGCAATCAGTAAAGAATTTAATTAGTGAAAGAATAATGATTCCAAGTTATGTCATTATCGAAATATCGAAGCTCGAAGTTTTCTGGTCAATGTCCAAAATCAAGAGAACTGTTGCTGAACTGAAAAAATTATTTGATCCATGATTTGGGCCAACAGTTTTTCTAAACAAATAATAAGTTTCATCTCTCTAACTCTTACGCTCAAAGAAAACGATCAGTTCAACTAAAAATCGATCTAATCTGTTTTACAGAAAACAAAAATTTTATTTCTGTAAATAAGCGCATTTTCTCATTAGACATCAAAATTTACATCATCACAATAAGTTTTATGAAAAAATTTGCTTCCATAATGTACAAAAAGGCAATCGAAGTTTCAACTTTGAACTCGATTTTATCGGCAACTTATCAACCTATAAACTTTTAATTCGCACAAATGGACTCAGCTTTTATGTCTCTACAAACCATCAGAGTTTAAATCTGAAAGAAATTGTATTTAAACCCGTTTTTGAACATTTGGGTCAATTTGTGCATAAATGTGACAATTGTGTTGATTGTTTCTTTTTAGTAACATCCATCCAATTACTAATTTAACTGTTGATGGTCCCAACGATGTTGCTCTTCAGTCAAGAAAGCCATTACGGATGAAATTCAATCAAAGGTACAAAATTGTTTAATTTATTCATCATAAGAGCGTATTTTCTTGTTATGAATACAAATAGATTAGTAAATACTTGAAAGTTAAACATTGGAAACAGAGCAAAGTAACCCATCGGTTAAACTTATTTCACAAAAAAACTATTTCATTTTCGTTCATGTTGTAAATTTGAGAAATAAGCAAATGAAGTGAATTTGTTTGTCAGGTACAAGAGCAAAGAGAAAGTGTTGTACTCGAGGTTTCACGGAATGGGTTTAAAATACTTTAATGGACTTTAATGTTCATCTCCATGCGATATGCTGATACATCGTTTATAAGAGCAATGTGAAATTCTCTTGTTCCTTTTTCGCTGAAAGTTTTAATTATTGAGAAGGAGCTTTCATTTATGCCGATCATTTTCCCTGATTCATCTATGGAGTTAGGTTGATCCATCGAAAAAAAATATCTGTATTGGAATGGAGGTGTTCCTCTATGAATTTTAAAGTCTAGTTGAAGTCTTTCAAACACTTTAACCTCGGTGGGACCATCAATAGTTGCATTAGTAATTGGATGTTTGCTATTTAGTGTGATGTTGAATGAACCAGATTTTTGGATAAGACGACTTCCATTGGTTTTAGTTGCTGAAACAATCACTGAAATGTTGTTCAGTTGAGGCTCAGAAAAAGTCGGTTCAATAACCTTTGAGCTTTCCTCTTGTGGTGAACCATTAATGATCCATTTATAAGTTATATTGGCTGATGGGATTCCACATCGTCCCGTGAAAAATCCAGATGGATCAGCAATTTCAGCAGTCAGTTTAACCGGCATTTCAGTAGAAACAAAATTGTTAACCAAATATTCATAAGAAATTCTTTGGTAACGAGTTATAGATCCAACCAGAGAATCTAGAAAAATAGATGAAAAATATTTTGATATTTTTGGATTGATGTCTAAATAACTTTACCTGAAAGCTCGAAAGTATGAGAAGCATTTGCGACTGAACGTGAATCAACACCGAGAAACCATACATCAACTTGCATCGTATATTTATCAGCTTTCGGTGTTAAAGATGATTCAAATATTACTGAGTATTCAACTACAACCGATGACGATACAATGGTTTTATCATGTTGAGGAAACTGGTCAAATTTGATTCGATATTCTAAGGATGGTGCAGGTGTGGGATAACGATTTATGACTGTGAAAGTGATTGGGGAATCAAGGGTAGCAGGTCCATCGTCTTGAATTTCAATCGAGTCACAGGCTAAAGTAAAAATAAATAAACTGGTGAAACGTGAATCAAAAGGATTCTTAAAGATTACAAAGTGGAATTGAAACCATATCATGAATTATTGTAAAAGGATCTTTAATTGTTGCACAAATTGCTCATTAAATAGTTGATAATTAAATTAATGTTAAACTTACATATTCCATTGATGAATGAGATAATACACAAAATGAATGCTGATAAATTTCTCATGGTGTGTCTGAAATTATGGATGATTTTCACTGGAACACTGTTTAAATGAAAGTGATTTTCAAATTTATCCCAACAAAACTCCGATTAGAGTTTAAAAGAGGCGATGACCTGGGCTAGCTGTAAAGGTCGCCTGCACTAGATGGCGACCAAGAAAAAAGTTTCTGAAACCAAATATTCAATGTATTTGATTTTAAGTTTAATATAACATGCAATGAAATGGGACTCTTAATCGGTTGTTACAAAAAGACACAATCAACACAATTGTCTTATTTATACACACATTGACAAAAATGGTCAAAAATGATCAAAAATTAATTTTCTTTTCAAATTTAGACTCAGTGGCGATTGTAGAGACATGAAAGCTGAGTCCATTTGTGCCATCCAAAAGTTTTCTTTGATCGTAATTTCAAAGAAATCGAGTTCAAATTTAAATCGATTTCATCTTGTAGGGACAGACGGATTATGGGAGGCAGATTTTTTTACGATAATCATCGTAATTGG